CCTTTTCTATTTTTGAAGAGGCTGAACTCCAAGCTATCTTCCACTACTTAAATCCGTCAGTTTCGGCACGTAAAGCCAATATTACCCACACAACGGTTCGAGAAAAGATCGTCGCCGCGTTTGAACAACACAAACAGACGGTGATAGACGTCTTACGCAAGGCGCCTGGTCTTATCCACATGTCCTTCGACGGCTGGCGGTCCGGAAACCGACATGCCTTGTATGGTATATGTTGCTTCTACAGGGACGAAAACAACAAGCCTTGTAAGCTTACGCTAGGGCTTCCCGAAGTCAGCGCCAAGCACACAGGGCCAAACATTGCCGCCGAAATCCTCGACGTAATTGAATCGTACCAGATCCAACACAAGATTGGCTATTTCACGCTCGATAACGCGAAAAACAATGACACCGCTATGGAGATTATTGGTGCAGAGCTCGGCTTTGTGGGGTCCCGCAGGCGAGGGCGCTGTTTTGGGCATACCTTGAACCTCTCCGCCAAAGCCATTCTATTTGGCCACGATGCTGATGCTTTTGAGCGGCGGATATCAGGGGGAGAACCTCTTACTGAAGCAGAACACTTGATTTGGCGCAAGAAAGGGCCAGTAGGAAAATTGCACAATCTTGTGGTAGCTATCCACAGGTCTGACTTGTTGACTGGCATGCTTCGCAGCATTCAACAAGAAGCATTCGCCAAGTCGTCCGACCCCAAACTTAACGCCAGAAAGCCGTTGGATGTGATTTTAGACAACGATACCAGATGGCTGTCCCAATTATACATGATACGACGAGCTCTACTCCTGCGCGACTATATCGAGCGACTTATTGCCCACTATCGAATCGAATTCGAGCAACAACACAAGACTAAGAGGGGTGGCCCTAGGAAGTCACTCACATTGCCCTTTATTTGCCAGCCCGAGAACCAGCTATCCGACAAGGACTGGGAGGTGATGGAGATATTTGCGCAAGTCCTTACTTACTACGAAGCCACGATCAAAATGCTCGAAGGCGACGGCCAGATCCGCAAGCGGAAGCGTGGGTGGACTGGGTCATATGGCAATATTTGGGACGTTGTCCAAGGCTTTGAATTCCTCCTCGAGCAGCTTGAGCGCTTCAAGGATATGGCGAAGGATTTCCCTGATCCTGAACACTTCAGCATCAACATCAATTTGGGCTGGCAGAAGTTGAATGAATACTACGGGACGTTGAGTGAGACGCCGATATACTACACTGGCTTGGCGCTCCATCCGGCATACCGATGGAAATGGTTTGAACGCAATTGGGCTGACCGCCCTGAATGGGTTGACGAGGCGAAAAGAATTGTCCACGATGTCTGGCGCTTTGAGTATAGACAGGCCACCTTGCCTGGAGAAGAGCCATCAGCTGCTGAGCCGGCTCTTAAGCAGCGGAAGACTTCGGACAATCCGTTCCAGGAATATCTTAAACGAAACCGCTTCACGTCGCCAGATGCAGGTCAAGATGGCGTCACGCCGGTCGAGGACGAATATCTCCATTGGATTACGTACTGCGAAAGCGGCGATGGCTCCGTCGACGATCCTCTGGCTTACTGGCACGAGAAGCGCTGCAAGTATCCAAACCTATCGCGAATGGCGCTTGATTATCTCACGATACAACCAATGTCTGCTGAGTGTGAGCGTCTTTTCTCGGCAGCAGGTCGGATGGTGAGCCCTCTGCGCCACCAACTTGAAGCCCAGATTATCGGGATGTGCCAGGTATTGCGCTCATGGCTGAGGGCGGGCATTATTCACGACTTAGATCCCTTCTTTATTTCGGTAAACGAAGAACAAGTCGATAACGAATTGGCTCAGATGTCTGGGCAAGAGCTCGAGGCATGGGCAACAAAGTGGCTTACTCAGATTACGAGCGTTCAAGAGGAGATGGAAGCTAGTTGGAGATAAGTCCGGCTTGTACGTTGGAACAAGGGAGACGGGTCGCCAAGGCTTCGGAGATNATATTGAGATACTCAGTGGATTATGATCTACCCACTACACTCGAGCACCCAGTGGATTGAGTGGAGTGGCTTTCAACCCTGCCTTTTTATCCTAGGTTTAAAGGTTTCCCAGCCACCTGATGAGATCAGGGTGGCTGGCCAGCCTTCCAAACTTCTGTTATCTTTGATTTTTCCATCTCTGCCTTCCACTTTCACGACCAACTTCAGCCTACCGGTTTCACCTAAATTTCCGAGGCCCTGCTGGCCTCGGCCAGGAATTTTTATTGATTGTCAGTATAGCGGTTCCCAGCAGCTTCTGCATTCCCCAACCACACGACGTAGCCACGCCTCCCGTGACCCCCACGGTAGGACTTTTTCGCAAGCTCAGCCATCCTGGCCATCGCTCATAGATTCGCCTGGGTTCCCAGTTCTTCCACGAACATTCCCGCCAGGTCTTTCGATTTAGATTTGCCCAAGGTGCTCTAGAGAGGTGCACGTCCACTGAGGTCTAGCCCCTGCAGTGGATTTTGCCCGACAAACACAGCCACTGCAGCCGCGTTCTTTATTGGTTATGCACCCCATACCGCGTTTGCCATCACGTAATACCCTATAAAAATTCAGCTCTTTTAGACTTGGCATTAACCATCTATATTTTTAATTAGATCAGTCGGTTTAACAACTTTCGCACAGTACTACCAGGGGATTGTGTTACTGCCGGAGACCACCTTGTGCCTATCCAAGGATATGGCGATGGCGACGTGGACATCAGGGTCCAAGGAGAGAGAGGCTGGAGTGAAGACAATCCACAGCATGGTCTAGTGGCATGGATTGCAATTGATATGGGTCCATATGTGAGTCCATATGTGGATTTTCGTGTAGTGACTTCGAACCCTGCTTTCGCCCGAGCCTTTACCCCTCAGAATGGCGTTTTCATTAGCAATTACACTAAGATTTTTCTCGTTCAATCAATAAAGACGAGCTTATCCGTCATTTTGAGGAGTTGTCAGGAATACGGGGCACTATTATGGAGATGAAATATGGTAATGTATTCTTGTCTGTCCTCTTCTTGTTTAACTTGAAGAATTGAGGTCTTTTATCTTGACTCCCCAACCACCTGAAGCCAACCACCCTTCGTATTTTGTAATCACTGAGAATCTAACAATAGTCGATGCTCAGGGGCAAGTTGTGAGACCTACATTTGGTGGCGTTAATTAGCGTCGGCATCAGCCGAGTGCACATCAACTGCTCAGCCCGTTACATCCCGGTCCCGAATCCCTACTACCTTGCGTGCCTTGGCCACTAGGTCTTCTTGCATTTGTGACACCATATGCTAGGCCCCAGCAAGGTCTAGGCCCAAAAGGCACTCAGCCCGCC